CGCTCTATTTCCAAAATGTATTATGATTTAGCATGCGTTAGAAAGTGTTACCTGTTCGCATGCATACCCTCCCCAAAAGTGGGTCAATTCGAATGAGAAGGTTTCGAGAAGGAACACGCGCACGACTATTCGCATGCCAGTTGTGCTTGAATATGCAGAGACAGTATATGGCGCGCTGTTAATTTCCTCATTTATAAATTTTCCTTCAAAACTGGGGCATTTACAAAGCTAAACTACTCGTAATAATAATGAAATTTTATAAGGCAGGTAAAAATTCTTGAAATCATTCGATAAGAGATAGATGGGTAAAATGATCTAAAGCCAACTTTGAAAATGAATCATTTCACCCATCTACTTCTCACCATATACTTTATTTGAACCACTAAACTAGGAAAAGGTCTTTGGTGAAGCTGAAAAAAGCTTTGAAAAAAACATCAAAAGCAAAATGTATGTAATGCTATTCCCCATTAATTTACCTATGGTTGTCAAAAATGGCTGACTGCTTATGGGTAATTCAATATAAATTGAACATTATTGAACTGATAAGCGAGATATTTAAACTGATATGGAGAGAACTGAAATAGCAGGGCAAATCGTATTAAATAGTATGAGAGCAGCAAATGGATAGCCGCCACGATTGTGATACAAACCTATAGCTCGTGTATAGATGCTTACGTTGCGAATTCATAATATTTTCACTAGTCAAAGGTCTACTACAGTTGCACTATTGTACAAAGTGAGCATCCCCTCAAAAAATAGATAGGGCTAGCATTTAGCTGAATTTTGTAAAAGAAGTGCTTATAATAATAACACAATACTATAAAGATTAGAAAATCAATGTTTAAAAAAAGTGAGGAGGAAGAAGGGGACAACAAGCTTAAAGACATTCAAGATATACGCGAAATGAATGTGATAGCCCTACAGCTGACATCTGGCGAGTTCTGAACGTCTGGCGTTTCGAATTAGCACACTCGGGTTGTCCAAGAGTACATTGTGACTCAACAAAATGATGAAGTCAACCAATCAGTTTACCGCAAGCGTTATCGATTTTTTGTAACTTCTTTTAACCCGAGGGTTTGTTGTTATGTTAGTCAAAAAATCTTTACGTAACTTATTGATGAGTTCTGCTTTAAAATTGATTGAATATTCTAGCCTGTGCATTCTTAGTCCAAACAGAGCTGGTTCATCATTCGAAAAGGTTTTAATAAGGTTTTTACGCTCAAACTTTCAACGTTACTTCAGCAGGAGCAAATCTGCAAGTTTCAAAAAAATGGACTGTTATGAATTTATATAAAATTTGAATTTGTATGATATATTGTTTTTCGTTTTTTTTTTACTTCTTTCACTTTAAACTCTTTTTGCTATCTTTTTATTAGTACTTTTGGTCCCGTAACTATCTTTAGTCCTGTAAAAAAGCGTTCAATTTTGATTACCCACCTATGAAATCACATTTAATTCTATATTCTACATTTTCAGCTTCAACTCCTCCAAAGAATCCGAAGTCGAAATGATTGATATTATGATTGTGTCAATACTTACATGTTGATTTCCGTTTTGCAACCGCATATTATAAATTAATAAAAGGTTGATTTTAATGTTATGATGGATATAGGAAGAACACAAGAAGTTGAAAGAAATATTGTAAGAAAGCAGTTTATAGCTGGTGTTTTGAGAAAGGAGGATATTTGATGTTACTGATTGCGAGGTCTTTGAACTGTTTTGCACAAATCAAGTTTTGCATACGAGAAACGAGTTCTCATTGTGCATCAAGTACGAGAAATCATAAA